CAGTTCAACTTCATAATCACAGTCAAACATACTTGTACATATGTACACAATTTTAACCCTCAACAGTCCTCAATTCTCCAATATCAATATGATTTCACACACCCCGGGGGGTATAAGTCAGGACACATGATGAACATGTGTTTAGCTATAAATTTGTCTTTAAAACTCCTCTGCTGATCTCAGGAGACAATCGAGCACTCCAATCATGACAGGCCATGTAATGATGTACATGTAGGCACATACATGTACATGTATGCACACACACAATGTGTAGCCAGTTCAGCGTTTCCACTTTTAAGGAAATTTCCTTATTATTTATGGAAATTTTCAAGTCCCAGGGAAATTTCTCAGGAATTGAACAATTTAACGAAATTTTAAGGAAAATCCAAATTCTGAATTTCCAGAATACAGAAAAAAAATCATGAAAAACTAGATTTCAGTTTTGTTCCAATAAAAAAAATGGCAAATTCAGCACAGGGATTGGGTGTACGGTATGTGTATTGTAATTTGTAAGTGGCTTTTTGCCTTTGGGGCCTACTCTGCTGAAGTTGCCATCCTAAAGCCACGTTTCACGGCAGTGTTCGCATGGCTGTTTGGTTCCCGTCCGAAAGATGTCTAAAAACAGGTCACCAGTAGGCCTAGTCTGGTATCAGTGGTATTGTCATGATTCATTAGTTTAGGCCTCAGTGGTCAAAGCGTAATGCATGCGGCAGGGTTGTCAGCACAATCACTGCACAATTCACTTTATGATGAAAAATAGAGTGAATTCAAATATACATTATTTAAGGAAAAATTAAGGAAATTCACAGAAAAAGTTAAGGAAATCTTTAAAAAATCTCGGGAAAAAAAGCTAAGGAAATTTTATTTTGAGCGGAAACACTGGGACAGTTTAAATGTTAGGCCCACAGGACAGTTTTTTCGAAAGTCATTAAACTGCAAGAAAAAGACAGGGAAATCCAATACATCTAATGTGACAATGAAGTGATCTGAAAATGCACTGTACAAGCATGATACAAGGCTGAACACAGAGAACAGAAAGACCACAACTTTGAGCAATTTCTCAGAGAATACAGGTAGGCCTAAATATATAAAATGGCCACAAAATCCCGTTGTGCAACCAATTCAGTGCACCGAGTCGAACGTGTTGCTTCGAAGGCCTAGGCCAGGCTATGGCTACACACATGATGCAACTTTAACACCACGCGTCTCAGGCCCAAACGTTAGTCCAGGGGATTCCCGGGTTATGATGACGTGGAACCTCTGTGCACGCTCCTTTCCGATCCCCCAAACCACAAATACATGTACATCAGTTTTTTGCCTGGACATTTGCCAATCTTGGTCAGAGTTCATGCTGTGATATTAACCAAAGGTATGGTGGAAATTTTAAGGAGGGAAGCTATTTTTAAGCAAAATAAAATTCTGAACTTGGTGGCACCAGTACCATGTACAGAGCACCACGGCCCATCGAAACGTTCGACAAACGTTGGTCCGCATGGCACCTGTGTGTAAACGTACGAGTGCAGTCAACGAGCCATCCATGACCCATCATGGTGCAGTCCAGGGTCGAAGCTGCAGGCTTGAGCCAAGTTGTAACATTTTTAAAGGACTATTTTAAATGTTTTTATTTTCAAGCATTACTACACTAAGCAATCTACCAAAATGACTTACCAAAACAAAGCTACTGAGGTAAGGTACTTGTTTGTCTACTGCAATTCTACAACGTAGGCCATGTCCCCTCTCACAATCTACAATAACAAACCACGAGGTTTTAGGAATGTTTGGGTCACATCGATCGATGTGATCACGCACTTACTCCGGTGTTCATGAATAAACATTTTATTAGCATAATTATAACACCTATGGTTTCTCCACTATTTTCGAAAACAAAACTGTGGTCTTCTTTTTCAAAAAAAAGACAAGATTTCGTGAATAGTGATACAATTTTAGAAACAGGAAACATAAAAACAGTGGGACAATTGCGATAATATTGGTACTATTTTGTTTAGCGTGGACGATTTTATGGGATCTGTGCCAGCGATGATGTCATTGCTGTATTTGAAGTGGGTGGGCCGCGCTGGTGGCGGCTCGCATGCGACTGCAAGGCTGGCAGTGCAGTGGAGCCAGGGCGTACGTAGCACTGCACATGTACATGTACATGTACATGTACATGTATATGTACTGTACAATGTACATGTATACTTCATGCATGCAGAACTGTGGACTATGCTTATGCGTAGCACGTGTACTGCAATCTACAAACTCCTTCCTGAGATAGCTTCAGGCGTGAAAACGGGACTCGAAAAACATCGTCATAAAAGTTTTTAAAAGAACGTACCCTTTTGAACATGAATGACCACGGCTTTTTGTTTTGTTTTCGATTTATTTTATTTATTTTTGTACTGGGCCGTTAAGCCTCCAGCTTCTCATTACCCTAGGGTGGAGGGAGGGGGGTCCAACTAACGGAGCCCATTCCCCCAGCCCGAAACCTTTTTTTTAATGGGAGATAGGTTAGTTTTTATCAACTTCATTCCATTCCTTCAAAAAGTGTGTAAAAACCCTTGATATTATGTAGCCTCACCCATCAGAAAGGCCTTCAGGTTACATGAAATAAAGCCTAATTTTGCCCTCTCCCTTCGCTCCCCAAAAATTGTGGATCTGCCCTCTAATGTACCAGTGAACCCAGGGATCCATGATTGTAGTTTCATCTCGAGTTAAAATATCCCATCCATACCCCTTTTTCTTTAAGTTCTTTTTCTTCTTCATATTCTTTAAATAAAATTACGAGTTTTGCCCTTATTTAACGTGTATATTTATAAACACTGTATACTCAGTGCTTGTCCCAGAGCTTGCGAAAAAATCACAAGGTTACTCGGGTGGGACTCGAACCCACAACCTCTTACTTACTAATGCAGACTTAACGACTCGACCACTAAGAACGTTTGCCATCCTCTATTAGCTTTTTATTCTTGTGTGTGTATAGGCCTATTTTGTTTCTTTTTTCCCAAATTGTTTGCTGATTTGTGTTGTCGCATTTTTTTTTGAAGGACGAATACAAGTCGAAGGAGGGCTTGCACCCTAAAGCAAAAGATCCAGTCAGATACTAACAGTGATATGTATCGAAGGGGGGAATATTCACTGAAAGCGTATATAGCCTCGTAAAGCCACCACTGGGAACTTCCAACAGAACACGTTCGAAATGTCTGCAGTGATGCACACGCTCCTACAAACTTATGTTGCTTGAAAGGTTCTGATCATGATGACACCACCCAATAACCAAACATTTCAATACATCATCTCTACGCAAACTTTTAGATTTGCCGGGCCATTCTGACAATGTTGTGTCACACGTGGTCTATGCATCTCCCGCCCGGACCCATCTGCTGCTCTGCACCAATCTCGAAACCACGTAACCGGCTGACAATCCGGTACGGTTCGTAAGGAACTTTGTCATACACGTGCATGAACACAAATTACACACTCCCATTGGATGAACGGACAAGTGCATGTTTACTTCTGGTTCCAAGGTTTCATGTAACTCAATGTGCAGTGGGCGTCGTTTTAAATGGAGTGACGTCACACTCACTTGCCAAAATCAGCCCGGGGTGCCCCTCTTACCTTTTCGAAAAGCATTTTTCAGTGTTGTAGTCGAGTACTTTCCGAGTACCAACGTTCTCCGCAAAATACTGAACAGGGTAAGAGGGAATAAAGCCAGAGTGTACAGGCATTTGATGGTAAATGTGCAAAGGTAAGATTACAAAATAAATGTTAGACTTCAGACACTCCCAGTTGTGTAAAATTGAAGTTTTAAGGAGAAAAGTACTCGGAAAGTACTCGGCCGAGTACTTTTGTCCTAAAAAGTTAATTTTAACCAAACAGTGATGGTCTGAAGTCATTATGTTGCTTTGTAATCTTACCTTTATGCATGTATCATCAAATGCCGATGTACTTCAGCTTTGTTCCCTCCCAACTAGTTAAATATTTGGTAGAGAGCTTGGTTCTCAAAAAGTACTCGACTACATCACTGGCATTTTTTCGTAATCATAGTCACAGAAGAGTCTTTACCAAGGCCTGCAAAAACTAGCAGCTTCAGTGGGATTGTCAAATTCACAGAACACTGCAATTATAGCCCCTCCTAAATATAAATAAGAGGGCTCTTGGACCGTTCATAAAATCGTGAACTCAAGACGGAGCTGTAAAAGGGTCTGACCACAACATTCTGATATGAGGAGCTTTTAATTCAGCCGCAATTTACGAACAAGTACTATTTTTAGTAGAAAGTGCATCCCAATGCATAAAAATGGCCAGCCAAGTTCACGCAAAAGTTTAGATATTGAATGTGAATCCACAATTTTGGGGTCAAAATTTTTAAAAATTCAATTTTGGCCATATTTCCTCGCCAAACTTGCGATTAGTAAAACAAAGATAGGAAATTTACCGTTTACGATACTATTTACTAACAGCTATAAAGTTTGAAATTCTTAGTTATGATGATTTTTAGCCAGTTTCTTTGTCTACCAACCCACTGTGGCAACAGAACAATGGCCGACTTCGACTTGGAACTGAATTCAGTATGTATTTAATTTCATCCTTCAACATTATTTCCTTAGAAATAATCGTTATCATTAATTTAATAAGAAATTAAACTCCGCGGCCCCGTTTCTTTTAATACAGGAAGCGAACATTTGCGGCTTACAGCGCCCTCTATAACTTCAAGGGCATGCAAGATTATCGATTCCGCCCACATGTAATTGGCCTACTGCACTGATGGCCGTGCTGAGGTTAAGGTGGGTCCATTTTTTCCTGACAAAATTTACATTACCCTCCTCATTTCAGCGGGATTATTAACCGAAAATAGTATGCAAATTGGATTGAAGATTCGTATTGTGTATTTTTCGTGCTTGGTTAGTGACTGACTTATCACGAAACTGGACAACCGCAAAATGCTCCACCCCTGCTCTAGTTTGGCGGAGGCCCAGTTTGCGGACAGAATGTCTTGTAATGTCAGGACGGGCGGGGGTGGTCGGTCGATGATTTACCCGCATTGACCAGGAAGACATTTTTGGAGTAGTAGCCTAATTGCAGAATACCCCGCCACTCGAGAATACACCCCAATATCACTGGTTGCATGGGTGCATGGTGGGTACAAGCTGGAACTTTGAAGTGACGCGCCGTGGGAACAGTGGCACTAACAATGTGTCTGACGGACACATTTTGACCTCGTCGGAGCCGGGCAGGCATCAAATTATATGTCATGTACGGGGTGGATCATGTAGAGTAGTCTGCATTTGTTTTTCATCCGGCCATCTGGACTAGTGCAGTCACAGTACAGGCTTAGGCAGATCTGTCATATCCTGAGTGGTGCATGCTTGCAACTTAATGAGGTCCTTGGGCCAGTAAGTGCATTAACTGAAACAACTGTTATATTTATCGTGTTTCCTGGGCCTAGTAAAAGATGACAAAGTTGCACTTACACGTAAGTCTGTCTATTGTCCAAGCATAGAGCAAGGACACATGGTTCAACTATGTGACATGTTGTGAAGTGGTGTGGTGATGAAAAAACGTACCGGCTATATAAGCATTATCGCTGATCATACCGCATGCAAGATACTTCCAGAACTGTAAGGCTTACACAAACCTTCTACTTGTACATGTACATGTAGATAGCCATGTACAAATTCCCAATCCCATACACACATTCTGGCGGTTTTGATTGTGCCAACTTACCCTTCCATCACAGGTATTTGTGCAACCAGATTTCATACATGCCTTCTTGGTGAAGTACGATGTCAGATGAGGAGTCTTTTTCACCTTATATCCTCATTAAAATGATGAAATTGTAGAGCATTTTGCCCACCCACATCACAGAAAATCAGCGGGCACTGATGCTAAACTAATTGTTTTTTATATGTGGCCTAAACAAACAGGAATGAGTCAATGTAGCTGAAGAATGGACACATTAAGATAACAAAATAGAGACCAAAATTTCATGAACAGAAACAGTCAAGGAATTGCCAAAATTGTGAATTAATGACCGGAATGGATATAAGAAAGGTAACCAGTGCTCATTGGAAGCATTTTCACAAAGTAACCACTTTTTAGGGGGTCGGGTATAGAGTCAAGGATATGGTTGGGCTCCAGTAGACTGGCGCCCTTGTGTGTAGATTTGTACCAACTTAGTCATTGGGACTTCATATTCACAAGGTGTGTATCAGACCAGTTTACAGTTTCAAAGTTTTTTCCCTTCATCAAAAAAAATCTTCCAGATCCACAAAGCAGAAAAGGAAAATCTAATACTCTGTAATTTAATGTTGAATCAATTTAAAAATAATAATATAAGAATATTTTTAAACTTTTGGGAAGAAAAAAAAAGGACAACAGCTACAAATTGAACCCAGCTACATGTAGGAGCGTATCATGTGATCTCAAGGTATTGTGGTTATCAACTGTTACAATGCCAGGGACCTTACTTGAAATCTTGTGATAATGTAACAACCATAATAGGTTTACTCGTGTGATATATGCATCAAAGAGGGTGCTGTCTAGTTGTAGCTGGCTAAATACCATTTAGTTACAACTAGCTGACAACAGCTAAATATCCATTGTCTAAGAAAATCCTCCTCTCTACCAAAAAAGGAAAGAAAAACCAAAGGAACATGTGATCTAACTGAGAAAATAAACGAAGAAAAACGGGGAAAAAATTGGATATGGAGCAGACTTGATTCCTGCAAGCCAAGATTGCAGAACAGCTTACATGTTGATTAAGCTGTTGCTGTACCCGACGATCAGTGGAAATTGAAGCCTACAAGTAAGCATGAAAATTGTGCAGTAGACGTAGAATTTGGGAAGTTGCATTACAGTTACTGTAAATATTACTGTAAAATTAAAAATTTCTTTGGTGTCTCTACTATGTGTAAAATCCTGCATTGCTAAATTTGTTGGGAATTTTCCTTCTGGAAGAGAGTAGGTGCAGCCAAGCCATAAAGAATTAACAACATTCATAAAATAAATTGAAAAAAAATCTAAAACAGTGTTCTGCATCAGGTTTCATTACCATTTCATTGCGGAACCAGTCATTTGTGAAAAAAAATGAATTGGGGACTCTTTATTGGTGATTGTAATCACGAGGTACATGTATTTCACTTTCAGCAATGAAGCAGTTCATGGCTCTGCTCAAGTAAAAACTTCACCTGTTAAAAAAAAAGCAGACTGCATTAGAAAGAAATGTAAATAATCTGTTTCCTTTTTTTCTGTGGTATAATGATGCAATGATGTCCCACTGTAACAATCAATTAATATTTCAGCAGCACCAAACACAACCTGTGGCTCCCAAAAGTTACATACATCATATACGTGTGTGATTGTACAGAAAAATGTTTGCCTTATAGAGGTCAATCTACAGGAACTACATATGTGTACCAGTTGTATTTGAGTTATGCCAGTTAAACCCCTAAAATTGGGCCCTAATCACCGGACAACTGATAGGTTGGCCTGTGACTCGCTCCAGAACACGTGCACGAGTCATAAGTCATCGTCATGGAGATGATGGACTTAGATTCCTAAGGGCAACTGCCAGCAACTGACTGACAGTATACATGTACATGTTCTGTGGAACATGTCACTACATGTTCATGTATAACAAACATCATCGCACTGAACATTTAGGTAAACCAAATAACCACCTTGGCTTCAGAATTTTCTCTGCACTTTTATCAAATATTACCAATTTTCTTCATATGAGGGAAACGGTGTTCATAATGGAACAATGGCTGCCACTGTTATGGGTAGCCTACACTGTACATGTACATTGCATGTACATGTATGGCTATGAGTACATAGCTGGCCATGTACATGTAGACTGGCTGCAGGGCATGTGTATGGCTGCAACACTGGAAACTCTGGTGCAGAAAACTTAATGTAATACATGTACATGTACATTGTAATTTCTACAGAGTTGGGAAATTTGACCTCAGAAATCACCATAATAGAAGATACATGTAAATGTAGGACGACCCTAGCATTTGTTACTTAACTTGCAGAAATGTATCTCGCTAGTTTTGATGGTTTTCAAAAATACTATTTGCTTGCATTTCATTTCCAACCTCAGACATATACATGTATGCATCTCCAGTGCTACCATATTAGAATGGTTCCCTGCCCAGCCTACATGTATTTGTTAAGTGCCTTTACATGTAATTAGCAGGAGGACCCAATATAACCACATTGCATGTCACATGCCATTTAAGGAAAACTTGATTTCATTTGACATGCACTTGCAGTGATGACGACCCGAAAGATGAAACATGAAAGGAACTGAACAAACATCTAATAAACTACAGAAATTTCAGTGTTTATGTTTAAAAACTTTTGTGGGTGGGTGTGTGTGCGCAAACCGTACATACCTAGTGTGGACCTGTGAACAAAAGATGTCCACACAATGCAGGAAAGGAAGACGTTCTGTGGACTTCCACATGTCCACAGGACGTTTCCCCTTCTTTGAAAAAGACGTTTAGAGGCATTTGGGGTTGGGGTCAGCTGTTGCAAAAGGAAGAGGAATAGTCAAGGAAACCTTGTGCAAAAAGCCAGCTGAAAATCGTGTTCCCAGTTCAAGAAAAGCTAGTATTTTCACTGAGTTTTCTTAACTGCATGAAAAGAAAGGAATGTCCACTCTAGGTATGTAAGGTAAGTGTGGGTGTGTGTAAGCGCTTGTCCAAAATCCTTGTACTCCAATATTATTATTTTCGGGGCAGGTCGCCACACTGTTGAATGGGTCACAGTTTGCATCTGTGACTGAAAATATTGAGGAATTGTATTAATGTACATGTATAATCCAACTTTTCTTGGACTTATTTTACATGTTGAAACTATGTTGAGGTCAAAAATAAAAATGCCAATGCAGTACTGGGATGTTCGAGATGGGTACCACTGTCACATCACACAAAGTCCACTTTTTGTGCTGATGTTTTTAACCAATTCCAGTGAACTTTAAACCATCAATTAACATACTTGTAGATGTACAACTCTTACCAGCCAAGCAAAAGGCTTCCTGACATACACCTTCTAGGCTTACTTAATGTTGGTAATTTTTGATAAATTTAAGACAAAAGTTTGGACTGAAAATTACAAATAAAGTGGATGTCAATCACTGGATGCTCACCGTACATGTTGGGCCACTTAAGGCAACATGTGAAACAATACTTCTTTGGAAAGAATTTGTGCTACTCCAGAAATGACTTCTGCTATCTGTAGCTATCTTTGAAGTCTTACCACCTGACCACGGGTGTTGTAGTTCCTCATGTTGGGCATTTCCAAACAAACCAGTACATGCACTTACACACATGTACATGTTGGCCAAAAAGTACTGGTAGTATCCAAACCAACCCCATTTTGGTGGTGTGATCCTCAATTTTTTTCAGGGCAAAGCTTTGGGAAAATGTCAAATTTGAGGTGAAGAAGGAAAACCTGACTGTACATGTAGTTTGCATGTGGTGCAAGAGGTTTAGTGACCTTTGTGCCTGCAGCTCCGTAGTACCCTTTGCAACCCCATAATAAAACAACTCTTCTTTTTCAAAGAGAATCCACTGGAACCCTTTTCATTAACTATTGCCATCACTGCCCGCTACTTGTACATACAGTAAGTGCCTGCACATGTATGTTATTTGGGAATTAGGCTTTAACCTTGTGGGAAAATGTTTTATAGCTGGTAATTCTTAACCCTAACTACCCAAAACCTGCCATACTCCAACAGCAGGTTTTGTGAGGTTTTGGCAGGTTTGGTACCGTACCTGAGGAACTTCTTGTTGAATTTTGTGAGACTTGGGATGAAAGGCCCGGGGAGATGGTGTTGGATTCTGTGTG